GAATGTTAAGGGCCTCAAAAGTTTGGATGATAGTTTGAATGATTACCTTAGCTTGGAGCATCTCAATGGAGATAATCAATATTTTTGTGGGAGCTGCGATGCTAGAGTAGATGCCACACGCTGCATTAAGCTGCGCACACTACCTCCTGTCATCACTTTCCAGCTCAAACGATGTGTTTTCCTCCCTAAGGTGGTTTCCTCGATCTTAATACGCTTTGCTTCATGAATCAATTGTGCAAATAAATTATTTCCATGTTTTGATTACTCACATCTTGTGATTTTTATAAGAATTGAATCATTTTCCTGCATAGCGTCTTTCAACATCTTTACCTCTTGTATGCCTTTGTGTATTATAAATCCTGAGGGATGTTTCTTGAATGATATCTTCGGCTGATTGAGTTATATATCTTTTACTCATGTTCATTCTCATTTCTTTCCTTTTGCCTTTTCCTGATATAAACTTGTATGTTTGTATGTATAAAAGTTGAATCTCAGATAAAATATTGTTAAAATTTCCTGAACTTTTCTTCTTTTTGGCTGGATCATGTCAACAGACTACTGCTAAGAAGAAAATTACGTCCTCGTTTTCCTTTCCTCAAGTGCTGGATATGGGATCGAGATTGGCAGAGTCCTCTGAGAATGAGTTGACATACGAACTCTCTGCTGTGTTAATCCACAAAGGAAGTGCTGTGAACAGTGGACATTATGTTGCTCACATAAAAGATGAAAAGACTGGCTTGTGGTGGAAATTTGACGACGAGGAAGTGTCTGAACTGGGTACACATCCATTCGATGAAGGTTCTTCAACTACACAATCCGAGAGTAATGGTGCCGCTAGTAGTGGGAAAACTAAAGATGTCAAACAATCAGGTTCTTCTTCTATTAAGTCAGAGGTTTTCTCATCCAGTGATGCTTATATGCTGATGTATAGTCTTAGATGCGGTAAAAAGGAAAGTCAGGAAGGAGAAAGAGAGAATCCTATTGACATAACCAACGGAGAAGTTGCTAGTCTTCAACAGCCTGAAGGTGGTTATCTTCCGTCACATCTCGATAAATGGATCAATGATCTGAACGCAACATTTCTTGAGACCTGCAAGCAATATGATTTAAAAAAGGAAAGACAATTGAAAACTTTGACTGAAAGGAGGCAAGAAGTACGGACTATACTTTCAGAAGCTGCTGTTCAGTCACTTGAAGAACAATACTTTTGGATCTCCACAGAATGGCTTCGCCTATGGGCTGATACCATTTCGCCGCCGTAAGTAAATCTCCTCATACATGCATTTGTTTTTATTCTCTATATACCCGCGCCAATTGCACTGCTTTCAACATACGATGCATTAAGAGCTGCAACAAAATATATGATTTATCAGAATACGATGGCGATTGCTTTTACCCCACACCAAACTTTCTAGATATTTTTTCCCTTTAATATTACATTTGATTTCAGTTTTCAGGTCTAACTGGCAGTTCTTGATTATATTTGTTCTTTGTTTTGTACAATGTAGCGCTTTGGACAACACCCCGTTACTTTGTTCCCATGGGAAAGTTCTTGCCTCAAAAGTTACTTGCATGAAGCGTATATCTGAACTTGCATGGACTAAGTTAGAATCAACGGTTAGTGCCCTTCCTTTTTTTAAGAACAAAAACTTTTCTTGTCTTCAATTTTTGGATCAGCTCATAAACCATGTGTCAGACAAATTCGTAGTTTCTAGATTCATGAGAACAGACTTCTGTTCTAGTCTCATTTCCTCGAATTCTTTGCTGGTTTTTGCCACACCCTTATTTCATCCTTTCCTGATGCGATCATTTCCTCTTATATTTAGTTCAATGGTGGACCTAAGTTAGGGAAAGGGGACTACTGCAGGGAATGCCTTATGGATGGTGCTCGCATGGTTGTGTCTTCTGACAGTTATAGGGATCGAAGAACATTCATGAAAAGCATAGCAAGCGATGTGCTTTCGGGAAAGTGTGAGGACGGAAATTATTATGTCTCAAAAGCATGGTACGCATTCAACTGTCCTGTAACTTATAAGCTTCTGTTAATACCGTTTTTGCTCATTTGTTCGAGTTCGACAATTTATGTATTTGCAGACGGCGACTTTAGCACTTAAGTACTATTATTATTATTATTTTGTGGGCGTGTTACCACAGTTAGCTGCTTCTATGATAGACGCCATTGGGGCTCGCACTAACATGTTTCAAAAATCTTGCTCCTTCTAAAGCGTAATAACACGTTTCCAGGTTGCAGCAATGGGTGAAAAGGAAAAACATTGATGCTCCCAGTGAAGCAGATGCAGGGCCTACAAATGCAATCACATGCAGTCATGGAGAGCTGATGCCTGAGCAAGCGGCAGGAGCCAAAAGAGTTCTAGTTCCAGAGAATATCTGGTCATTCCTTGTTGAAGATGCTTTAAAAGTGACACCAGAAGATACTTCGGGTTGTCCCTGTTTTCCTCTGGACTCCATCCAGTGTTCTCATTGCACATCCGAACTTTCTGAGGTTGCAGGCGTGGAGGATGCACTAAGGTTAACCATTGTTTACTTCTCTGTTGGTCTTGACACTCTTAGATATTTTCTTACGTTCGGTCTGATGCAACAGAACAATAAAGGCCAAGCAGCGCCAAAATCACGATAAGTTAGCGACGGGAAAGGCTATGGCATTAACGCCACAAAGTCGATATTTCTTGTTGCCAACTCCATGGCTAGTGCAGTGGAGAAGCTATATTAACATGACTGGAAAAAATAGTTCCTCAGTACCAGAGCCTGAACTTCTTGATGGAGTCATTAATACTCTAAAATGCCAGAAGGTAAGATCCATTGCTGGGCAGTGATTTGGTTTCTATATGTACAGAAGTGCTGAAATCTATATTTGGTTCCCTGACTCAGCTCTATTTACTCTCATACACCTATATAGATGCGTAAGTAAACGCTGGTGAATATAAACTGACGTATATTAGCAAAAAACTAATGGTTTGTTCCTATGGGTATTGGTTTCAGCACACACGCCTCCTTGAAAGGCTCCCTGAACTTGTCTACAGACGTGGCTCGTTATGTCAAAAAAATCCATCTGTAAGTGCATTACATACAGTAATATGCTTCTTAATCAGTATTGCAATTGTTTGAAATAATAAAGCCATAATAAGAATGAAAAACTGAGAGACTGACATGTTTCTGTAGAAGTAAGAATAGTATATATATAAGACAATATTCAAGTGTTGAGAGATGGCGGAGTGTTTCGAGCCTAGTTTTATTAAAAACTGGGAGGGTTTAGGATCTCTAGGATAAAGTTACTGGTTTCAATAGTTTGGTTATGTAGTTCTGTGATTCTGTGGTTTGATTTCTTTGCTGTTTTTTTAGCGATGGAATGGAAAATGATTACTTTGATCTAAATTCTTGATTCTGCATATTTTTTCTAGACGGATAAGCTGACAATCATCCCTGAAGATGACTGGAAGTATTTCTGTGAGGAGTGGGGTGGGATCGTGGATAAGGGAGTCTCTGCTCTTATTGAGGATAGTAGTAATACGAATCGAAGTGCATCCCAGGACGCTATTGACCTTGATCAAGACTCTTCTCCTGATGCTAATATGGAGATTGATGATCAGCAGCTTATTATCAGAACAACCCCAGAGGTGACATCTTAAGCTTGTGATATTATGTTGGAACTGTAATGTTGACTTAGCTTTTCGCATGAGGTTCAGATGTCTTATACTATGATGTTTTTTTCGTAAAAGTAGATTTGATCATTTGCGTTACATTGATTAATCGTTTGAGGTTCATGAGTTGCGTTTAACAGTATCTTTTAACCTCACTAGGTTTGTGAGGAATGCATAGGAGATAGGGAGAGCTGTGAGTTGATGCAGAAGCTCACTTATTCTGAAGGAGATGTATCTGTCTGCCTGGTGCGCGGAAAGGAAGCTCCAAAGTCAATGTTAAATGCAGACTCGAGCTTTGAGGTGGACCGTCGTATGTCAAAGCGTTCTCGGAGAACTAACTATGGGAAACAGACCAGCCTAAAAGTTTCTGCAACGACCACTGTTTACCAGCTAAAGATGATGATATGGCAACTACTTGGGGTATTGTCTTTTAACATTGCTTTTCAAAACGTTGAGAATAGTTTTTAGAAAGTTTCACTAGGTTACTGGGTTACTTGTGGATAATATGCAGGTGATGAAGGAGAACCAAGAACTTCACAAAGGCACACAATTGATTGATCAGGAATCTGCTACCCTTGCAGACATGAACATATTCCCTGGGGACAAGCTTTGGGTGAGAGATACCGAGATACATGAGCACCGCGATATTGCTGGTAAACAAAAACTTAGGAATTGTAGCTAATTACTTAGCTTAAGTTAGATTTGTCTGTTAAAGAATAAACCATCTTTGATGTTTTCAACAGATGAGCTTTGCGATACGAAGTCAGGACCTCAAGATATAGAAGAAGGTTTTCGCGGCACATTATTGACTGGAGATATCACTTTTGAAGCCTGCTAGTAATTCTCAGTTAGTTGTGCAGGAGATGGATGGATGACAGTTTTTTTTTTTTGTAAAGGCAAGGCTTTGAAGCTTTATTTTGTGACCAGAGATTAGGTGAAAAGCTTGCAAATGCAGAATTGGTAGATGTTTTGTGGATGGATTTGAAGCTACTGAGGCTTTCTGTGTGTGTTTTTTTGGTGTACGGTTTATTTTAATGTGACATTTGTGTTACAAAACTCCTTGTGTGCATATTGAAAGTTCCTCTACAGAAACTTTTTGTTTGTTTGTTTGGCAAGGTTCTTTTACAGAAACTACGTTAGCTTTTGTGTAGAGGAACTTGCTGTTTGCTTTGTCTCTAGGGAATGATAGTACTTTGTTCCGCTGGCTTTTGTTCTTCAAAGGTGTTTGTACCTGCTGGCTTAAAGTATCTCAAAAATGCATTCCACCCCTGTATAAGTTCTAGCAATGATAATGAAGCTTTCAGTGTGAAAAAAAACTCATATCTTGCTTGCTCTTTTAGCTTAGTGGACAGGTGTTGCTTCACCAACACTCTTGGATTTACAGAGAAGCAAATCTTTGAGCTGCTTGTATTTTCTCAGTTCCTCTATTGCATCTGATGTACTAAGAGCCATCGAAAATTCAGATTCTATGCCTGACACTGAACCTTCTCCCTGAACCCCGGACATTGACGCCATGTGCTTGAGTCTTGCCGTAATGGCGGTACTGTCTTCAGCATTTGAACTAGAACTCCAACCGCTGCATCCTGTGACTTTCTCCCTGTAGGTAGCGACTGTGATATATAGTTTAAAGTTTTCGTCCGGTCAGATACTTTGGCTGCACCGGAAGAAATGCAAAATTCTTATGTCAGTAGATATATCAGAAGAAGATCACATTATTCACATACTTATTTATTATGAGCTGTTCACTGATCAGCTTTCTGTGTAAAGATCTAAGACTAATGGGGTAGAGCCGACCTGTACTGAAGCTCTGACTTGTCAACATCGAAATCAAAAGGGCATGAACAATCAGGGTCATCCAAATCATCTTGAGAAGATAATCTACTGGGGCTCCTTGAGAACCCGAATCTTGGTGAGCCACTTGAAGACAAGAAGTCCAAAGAACACGGGAGGCAATACTAAACATCGTGATTTAGCACTTGCATGAAGTGACAAGCAGAATAACCTTCAGGCCAGGGTATTGGTTCATGAATCCAGAAGGAGAGTCTCCGCTTCTGGAGCTCTTGTAAAATGCGATCCCAGGCAAAGAGTCTTGCGAAGTAGGTGAGCGTCTCGTGCTTCTTGGGGAAAAAAAAGGAGGGAGTGGATTCCTATCAAGCCTAGCTGAAGAAGGAATGGTAACTGGAGCAGTTCCTGGCCTCATATTAATCCTTGTACTGCCACTCGCTGAAATGTATCTAGGAGTAAAAGGAGAACCGATGGCCAAAAAGAAGGTGAAAGCTGGTGAGTGGTGACTGTCCCCACCAAAACCATTGTGTAAACCAAGTGAAAACGACTGGTTAGGTGTGGCTTAATGACTTTGAGGTCTGTGAAAGCCGCTGGTCCAGCTCATGGTCATGCCCTCCCCCCTATACCAAAAAGGCATTGGCCTTAGGCCACCAACAAATATTTCAAATCTAAGGGCCTCAATTTTATAAAAAAAATATATTTGATTATGTTAGATAGATTCATTTAAAAGAAATTGTGTTGACTTTTTACCACTATAAATAGATTTTTATGGCTAAAATTTGTATTCTTAAAATGAACATTTTATAATTACTTAGATTAAATATCACAAAACTTAGACTACTATTATATGATGTAAAATAATTACTTCTAGTTATGGACACTAAAAATGCAATGGTATTATTATCTTTGTGAAAAATTCTCATATTTTATGTCTTTTTAAATGATATCGTTTACAATATAAAATACTTATTCTAGTGATAACTAAAAAATCACTAAAATTAAAATACATTTAAACAAAAAAAAAAATTATTTTTACAATTTGTTTTAGGCCTTCGTAGGCCTGGGCGCTCGGTCCACCGATCGGTTTTGGTTTGGTTAAATCGGATGTTCGGACTTTTGAATCTTAGTGTACAAGTACTATTTGGTTTTATTCCAAATTTTGGGATGGTATCGGTTTGGAACCAACCGGGTTCAGACAGGTTCGGGTGAAGCAAACAAAATCCGGTAAAAGTCGATTACACTTGACCGGTCCGGTTTTGGTTTTTAACCACCAAATACAATCATATATAACCAATCAAACCGAAAACAACCAAACATAACCGAAACTAACCAAACATAACCGAAACTAACCAAACATAACCGAAAAATTGCATTGACCCAAACATGAGTTCAAACACAACAAAACCCAAATAAAATACAAGTTTTAGACACAACAAAACAATATAACTTGTGTCTAAACTTAAAACCAATACTCAAGCCGAAACAAAGTGTTCAAATTGGAAAAAAAAATCATAAACTTCAAATCGAAACAAAGAAACTAAGTGTTCACCAAGCCATGATCTTCTTAAGCAACAACAAAGCCTTAGTCTTATTCTGGAACTACTGTGTCTCTATACTCTGAAAACAAAAAGTTAAAAAACGATTACTAACAACTTAACATTCATATTATAAGAAAAGAAGATTGAAATTATAGGATTTTGCCTCTTTCAAGCCAATCAACTTCTTCAAGATCAGCTAGTATTTGAGGATTTGAAAGCACTCTTGACTCCATTTTTATGTCTTGCTTCATCCACTGCTCTGTGAAAATTAAAACCTCCACCATGTAATGTGTTAGAAAGCTCCTGTATGGTTCTAGAAACAGTCCAGATGTACTAAAGGCACTCTTTGAAACAACTGACAAGACTTATAAAGCTAAAACATCACGAGTAATCCAAGACAAGATAGGATACTTAGCTGAGTTCTTTCTCCACCATGAGAGTACATCATACTCCGTTCCAATCATCAGGTCAGGGTGATCCACAGACTCTTTAAGATATGTTTCCAGCTCATCCTTCTTTTCTCAAACCCCTATTTCGTTTATCTTCTGCTTGTACCTAACATCCATTCTTTTGTAACCCACAAAGTCGTCCACAAGCTCCATCCTTTCAATACATTGGTCTCCAGGCTGAGTTGAGTTGTCAGACTGAGATGATTTGTCACTTGGATCTGTGTCTTGAAATTTACTCTTTGAACAAACTCCTCAAGAGACAGATCAAGGACTATACATCTCCTTATATTCAGTACTGTCTAGCCCATATAACTCTTCGAAACACATCTTTGCAAGCTCCAAATTGATGCTGGGGTCGAAAACAGTTGCCACAATTAACATCATGTTAATATTTTCATGCTATTCCAATACTTCTCAAACTTCTTGAGCATCTCTGTCACCTTAGACCTCATTTCAGAATCAAAGCTGCTGGAGAGTTCTACCAGATTAGTCGCAGTGGTTACAATCTCACCATAGCACAAATATGAACTGAGTGAAGTGAAGCTGAGACCACCAGTGTCGAATTGTAGAAGATGATAAGAAATCGACACAATTACTCAATGGCATTCTAATCCCTTAGCTGTGGAGGTCCTACCCTTTTTTCTCCATTTTCAAACTTACGGAAATGATCATTGTACAACTTGTCTTCTGCTTCCATCTTATCAAAATCCATCTTGGAATTTTGAGCTGTTGTCAACATTAGGTAGGTTGAATTCCACTTTGTCTTGACATCTAACGGCAAACTTCCCCTTGTAATCTTACCGGAGTCAACTTTTAGCTCAAAAGATCCCAGTCTGTTAGTATGTGATCTAACATAGGAGATAGCATTGCGAATAGCAACAACATTCTGATCTATTTCAGCCATTCCATCTCTAACTATCAAGTTAATGATATGGGCACTACATCTCATGTGTAAAAACTCTCCATCTAACACAAAAGCCTGATCAGAACCTAAACAAAAATTACTCTGAAACTTCCTTAAAGCTGAACCATTGGCAGTAGCATTATCAACGGTTATGCAAAACACATTTATTATTCCCCATTCAGACAAGCACTCTAGAAGAACAATTTGCTATAGTCTGACCTTTGTGATTTGTGATGTGTTTGAACCCGATGATCAGCTTCTTCAACCGCCAAAAAGCAAATATAGTGGACTGTGATGACCATATAACTTGCACCTGTATACATTGAACAGTAAGAACCTATGATCAGCTTGCTAATATGTATAAAAGAGTTAAAATTCTAATGTATAAAGTATTACATGTAGTTGGTGAGACCCAAATATCCGTTGTTAGAGATACTCGTTGATTGCTACACAAGAACCATTTCTTGAGTGCATCTTTCCTTTCCACATACATCTTGATAATGTCTTTAGTCGCTGTTCTTCTTGAATGAGGAGTGTAACCCAAGTTTGCCTATAAACATAGAAAAGATAAAGACATTAATTATAGGTTAAACATATAAAAGAGACGACATTAGTTACTAACCTTGACACATAAGTATTTCCATGCTACACTTTCAATAAATGATAACAACAATTGTCCTAAGACAACCATCTGATTCGTGACTTCTCTCAGCTGGCCTTTAGTCAACTTTGCCTTCTTAAGTTTCCCTTCATCATCAATTTGTGGCTGCTTATCTTCTTGGCCAGCCGACCAAGAAAGATAGGTCTTACATTTCTCAAGATGGTTTTTTAGATTTGAGGTCCCTGAGCTTGTGAGACACGAGAATATGTTCTGACAGTAGTTGCATACACACATGTTTCGATCTTCTTTTGTCCTTGTGTAATGTTTCCAAATTTCAGACCTTGTAGGGAGAATACGCTTCAATTTCTTCACTTGAGATGTCGCTTTATTAGCTGGTGATGGTGAATCAATGTTTCCTGCATCATCTTTGTTATTGGTTTCTCGGTCAAAAGATGATGTTGAATCCATCTGCAAAAAGAAAGAAAGCAAAACACCAAACTTAATTCAAGTACACATATACACCATAAACAAGAAAGAAAGCTAACCACCAAAATCAATTCGAATACACATATGAACACCAAAATCAATTCGACTACACATGATCCATAATGATTACAAATCAAAATAATAACTGATTTGACTCAATTAAACTCAAAAGTACTAAAGAAGATGAATATCAAGAATCAAAGTAAGAGAGCGACAATACCTGCGATTGGATTCTCGAATGATCTGATGAAGAAGAACATGGAGAGGCTAGGTGATTTACAGTGGCTAGTTTGATGATGATGATCAATACTTGAGAGAGAATTTTGGGAACTAGGGTTCGTCGCCTCACACGAGTTCAAGAAACGAAGAGACTTCTCGTGTCTTGAGTTAACCATATCACGCTTTAGACAAGACTATTAATGCTCGGTTCACTTATTTGGATATGGGTTTGAAACTAAACCGGCACAAAGCCAAAAATTTTGGGCTATAGAATCCATTCGGATTTTGGCTTAGGTCCATTACCGCCAAAACCGACAGTTTGGTTCGGGTTGTACTATGGACTTCGGGTCTAGTAGAAAAAGCCCAGGTCTAGGCCTCCATGAATCTAGGCACGTGATATCACTGAAATTACCCTAGGGAGTGAATTTAATCTCTCAAATAAGAGGTCCAACTGTAGTACTTAGGGATCAAATCCAAAAAGAACTAGAAAAACAATTAGATCTAAACAGTTATGAATAATCTAGGCAAGTAAATAATAAAACAATAAATGATTATAAAGCAGTAAACAAGATGAACAAGACTATTTTTCAGCTTGGTAGAGAGTTTCTTGATGGAAGGATGGTTGCTAGACTTAGGATTTCTATTCAAATATTTAAATAAAGCAGTAAACAAGATGAACAAGACTATTGTTCAGCTTGGTAGAGAGTTTCTTGATGGAAGGATGGTTGCTAGACTTAGGTTCAATATTCTAGTTAATTACTCCAGAACAAAGCATTAAGAACAACCTATTTATGAATACAACAACTTAGCAATCTATAGTTGGGGGCTAATCTCTCTAACCTATTTGAACCTTAAACCTAACAGGTGGATCTATTCAAGCATGAAGTTTGTCACATAAATCATAGATGAATAGATAAAGAGAATATATATAAAATATAAAAGCAATAAAAAACCAAAAGAGTTCCAGGAGGACTCTGATAGAGTTCCTCCTTTCTCTCCTAGAACTAAGAACAAGAAAATATAAAAATAGCTTAGCCGTCAACAATGGCTTACAAAACACATAAATATGATTTCTGGTCGTCCAGGGGTATCTTGGTAATTTGGGTTTCTTCTAGGCTTAAGTTTGTCTTGAAATATACTCAATCCACGTTATGTGATCCATTTCGATGGATACAAGTAGTGCTGCATCAATCGATTTTCCTTTATCTTCTCGACAGC